TGCTGAGCTAGTACAACAATAGAAATAACTCTTTCATCGTGTTTACTTAGACTTGTCATGGTTTTGACCGGATGTTTGTCCTAGAGGCTGACCAGTTTTCTATGGAATAAATTAAATGTATATTTCAAAACAACAAAATATATATGCAAGTATAATATCTGGCTGGAGATATGACCGAAGACAACAAATTCAGTGTCTGATTATAGGAATTACTTTTTTTTCTTGAAAGTAATACATTTTGAAAATTACAAAAAACAGAAAGTGATTCCACTAAAAACAGTTAAGCATTTTATTCTGTGAGATGCTGCATTCATTCGTGAATTTATAAATCATATTGTGTGTAATTGCTAACTTGTACTGACCTTTAACAGCAAGGATTTACTGTGACTTTTCATAAGTTACAAGATTTATATTGAAACTTGTTTATAAAACATTTTTGGTTATGTAAACTGTAATAAAACACATGATCTAGCCTTTTACATCCTTAAGAATTCTAAAGCACTTTACTGTATATAAAGGAGGAAAAGAGAACCACTTCACCCACGTTTTATATGAAGCCATTATGCACCAGAAGCCTCACTAAAAGATCAGGTAGAGAAATTACTTCATCAGCTGAATTAAGCAGAAGCTTTAGACAGGCTAGATCATTCAAATTCAGAGAAGAATTTTGCCAGGACACCATTGTGACACCTCTTGTCTTACAAACAGTGTCATGGGATCTTTGATGACCATGTATTGGGGACCTCAGTTACATGTGTCACCCAAAGTATAATCATCATACTGGGGTTCTGGTTCACACGGAAGAGTGCCACAGACCAGACCAGCCAAGTCTAGGTTCTGATAACTGGTTACCAGCTGATAATGCTGCTGCTGTTATTTAGTTTTTTTTTTGCTTACATCCTCCCTGGTCTTAAAAGTTGCACATTGTACAATATGAAACAACTGTCCATAAAGATTAATTTTTTAATCCAGTATTAAAGAATTTGCTCCTTTTATCAGGTTTTCATTTTGTTTGGAATGATTAAATAATAATTATGTCATTATGATGTACTGTAAAATCTCAAATCTTGTAATTTTCTCATTTTGCACATTAATGCTCCGATTGTTTGAAGTGTGTGAGAGAAAGTATTACACATCACACATTTGGTACTAGGGAGTTTTCTGTAAAACAAAATTGCATTTCTTGTATAGAAATACAAACCGAGAAATAAGCACCTAGTTCTAGTACATCTAGCTCCTTTGGTTGTTAGTAACTAAAATATATTAGAATATGAGGGTCATTATTTCATTAATACAAAAATGCCCTAGATTAAAATGCTGCATTACACCCCTGTGTTTATGGAGCAAGATTTCCATACTCCAGGCTTCGGTTAATATGATTTTGATTTGTATCATATTGCTGGAAACAGGGATGGAATCTCAAGACAATGTATTTTAACATGGGGCTATAAATGGGATGCTAGGATGATATTCATTCGACTAAACAGACATTAATATACAGTAAACTAGATTCTAGTTCATTGATTGATAGTTAAACATGAGAGTTTTTAGAAACTCGTTATTCCAATGTTTGCCAGTTTGTCCCGACAGGACATTTCTCAAATATTTTCACATCATTTTTGGTTCCTACCGCATTTGGCATCTGGCAATGTTGGCAATAATACACACTACTCCAGAGATTCGGAAATAGTTACCAGCACTACAAGGAAAATTACATACGTGGAAAAACGAACCTTTGGAAAGGTGCTTTTTTCCTTTATATTTGTCATCCATCCGTGTTTAATGCACTATTATTTTTCATCTGTGATTAAAATTAGTAAGGCATTCAGGCAACATCAGATGGATGAACAAGCAACAAGGGCAGAAACAAAAGCAGAAGTGCAATGAATTGATTGGTGATACATGTACAATCGATGTCCACAAAATAAAACCCATGGGCAATTTGTAATAATGATTTTGGCTGAGGGTTGCCTCTCCTACTGCTTTCATCAATTCACTGGCTTTTTTCAAACTTTTAAACAAAATACTTTTCATTCCATAGTACTATACCTGTTTCTTCTGATAGTCGATTTTAACTTTTTTAATATGTATGTTAATCCCTTGAAAATCATGTGAAAAGCCATCTTTCTAAAGCTCCTTTTTTAATTATATTCTATCAGGTTTTTTTTTTATTTTCTTCTTCATATTTTGAAAATGTTCCACACATATAGATCTAGGAAAAGCCATTTGAAAAATGAAAGCATACCTTTCCTTTGGCAGTAAATAATTCGCTTTTCATTAAGCCTGTATTCTTTATCCTGAAGTGTTGAAAGGCAATTGTTCTTGTGGTTTGTTAATTTAGTTGGAACTCTACAAGCCAGCATTGAAAATAATCCCCATCAGAAATTGGTAGTCTCATATTGCAATAGCTACCTGTATATGCATGTTCAATATCTGTGTTACCAATAAAAATATATAGTTACATTCTAGGCAAACTTGAAAGCAGTAACCTGTTTCCTTTTTCTAGTAACTGTTCATCTTTCCTATTACATTAGTGAGCTGATCTCGTACTTAGTACTCAATCTGCTGGAAGGACATTCGGATGTGATGACGCACCCTGTAGGCTTGCTTATAAAGTCACTTTGTATAAAGGTGTTGGATGTTGGAAGATGTTATACAGTCAGTTACTGCAGCATCTGCCCTAGTCACCTAGTACATGTCATTGTTTAAAATATATATTTTTTAACCTTGATAAGTCAGTTAGAACACAAATTCTAATTTACAATGACAGAATGGGGAGAAAAATCAAATTTAATCCTGGGACAGGTTTATAAGGAATATGCGTCAAAATATTACTGCAGTCAGCTGTGTAACAACACGTTAGAGCATGATTAAATAAAGGTAAGGATGCATCATATTTAATGTTGCTGGCAGGAAAGTTACCCGTATAAATATGACAGTTTTCACCAGAAAGAAGCTCAAAGCTTTATTAACCGGTTTTCTCCTAAGGTCTTCTTCAGCAAAGCTATATGCATAGTAGCCATGGTTAGGTAGCATACCCTTAATCTAAAGGAATTAGAACCCAGCCAATAAAGATGAAGTCTTTCAGATGGCCCAACTAATGACAGGTTACAGTATCAGTTGGATAGTATAACAATGGTGGAGAACAGAATTATCTCAGAACACAAATTTGTACAGTTCATTTATAATTGTAGCTAGAAGATTACAACCTGCTAATTAAATTGCCTTGGCTTATCTAACTGCGTTTGGATCTTGAGGCCAAATACTGTTTAATTTTAGCTATGTGATCTTAATCTGAGGCTCCACAGCTGGAATATCATTGTTTCAGAGGCTTTGGAGAATTGGTTCTCTTCAGCTGATGCAATATGAGGTCTCAGTCAGAAGAGGTTTGTATTTTATTTTGTTTCTACAGACTCACAGTCTCCTTTCAGCAATTCATGATCTAACTTTTAAAAGTGTTGTGGTATCCTTGAGAATAAATTGAAGTTATTGCATACTAGAGAAATGAAATGTTGCAAATGAGAGGAAGTCATTTGGCCCATCTAGTTCTTTTGGTTGTTAGTAACTAAATGAGATGAGAATATGAGCATCAGCCAGCTGTTTCTTGAAAGAATAAAAATATCAGCTTCTATAACATGGCAGTAAAACCTGTTCCAAACTTGCAAAACTATTTATTTATGAAGTGCCTCCTGTAAATGAAATATTCCTTTATGCAATATGCAGGATCTTTTAAACCTTGTATGAGATTATTTTTTTTTCATCCAGGCATCTACAGTACTTCTGAATAACTAATCGGATAGACAGCAATGTTGATCTTACTGTTACAGAATGCACATCAGGCTCTTTTAGTGTGTAGTGTCTGCTTTAAGAAGAACCTTTGGCCTTCTTTTCACTAAGATGTATGTGATATGGCCTTTCACACATGGAAGAAGCTCATCGTCTTGTTGTATCTGTCTACCTTTTCATGGAAATATAAATTGAAATGCAAGGAAAACAAACGATGTGCATATTGTTTGATGGTCTGGTCATTATGTAATATTTAGCTACTTTGCATTTTTATTAAAAGGAAGAAATAAAAGCTGTTGTGTTTTGGGAGTAGTGAGAGAGCTCTGCTGTTCATCCTGTGATCAGTATAGCAGAGAGGAAGCATGGTCAGAGTGACCCCTGCTGGGGGAAAAGCAGAGGCAGGGGAATCCTGTTAAGAGAATATTGAAGAAGTGATACTGGAAATACAGATCTTACCTTAATTTTCAACCACTGCAACCATGCCAACCTTGTCATTTGCACATACTTACTGTATAATGTGGCTTCTCTTATACAGTCCAAAACCTTTCTAAGCAGTTCCCAAAAATGTTCGTTAGAAATCATAGTTATTCCAATTAATACCATTATTGGCAGTGCTATAAATAACTTAATTACTACCTTTATACACAACAGAAATTGGCTTTATATAAACAGACTAAGAATGGGTTAAAGATCCTGTTACGACATTCACAAAGCAGGATTCTTTAGGACGTTATCTTCATACCTGTCTTCTGGTATGTTCCTACTGTATATAGCCAGCTATGACATCGGTGTTCACTGATATAAATTTGTTTGGGGAAAGACTAACATTTCTGTGTCTGTTTTGGCACACCCTCATTTTATCCTAAATCACAAACAGTTGTTTTCCTCTTGCTTCTTTTTCTTTGATTGGAAGCTTACAGAGGTTAGCATTCAGGTAGAAAATTTCCTAAATTCTGTCTTCTACCTTCATTCTATAGAATGAGTAGACTGACTTTGAGTGATGTTTGACAGAAACATATTGAGCTATATCCACCTTACGTCTACCTTATTTGATACTGCCATTTTTCATGTTTGTGTCATTTGTCATGCTTAATCCTGATTTGTAAACCAATCTCCTTTATTCTACTGTATGTATATCCCTACATAGATTCTAGGGATAGCTGCTATCACTTCTTAGCTTCTACACTATAATATGCATTTATGATATTTTGCAGCCTCTCCAGCTGACAGCACAGCTGAACAGAAAGGAGGTAGACTACATGCTGGTTTGATAGTTGGCATCCTATTAATCGTGCTCATCTTGGCTGCAGCCATCCTGATTACTGTCTACATGTACCACAATCCCACATCTGCTGCAAGTCTTTTCTTTATTGAGGTGAGTTCCTGCATGATTTGGTTTTCAAACATACACTGCATCTTTATTTTCACAAATGCACCACGGTAGATTTCCTACATTGCATTCTCAAATTTTTGCACATTTCTCCAGGGCAAGGATTTTGAAGAAATATTAATTTGAGCAACATACACATCTCGTATTCTAGCAAACATTTTCTCAGTAGTGGCAACTCCATTAAATTAAGTTAAAGGCATGGTTCCACAGTCTAGAAACATTTTCATTTGCTATGGTACATTTGTGCATTACCTAAGCTGAACAAATAAAACATTTCTTTAGTAATTAACTGAATTCAAAGAATAAGGCATATAAATTGTGGTGCATTGTCTCTCTAACATCTAGATTTTACAGGGGCAACAGAATGACGTAAAGATAAATACTTTATTTCACCACATTATGGTTTTATTGGCAACAGGTTGAATCACAACAAACGGCAAGCTTCCATTTCTAGCTAAAACACAACTTGTATAATGCCAAAGAAGTAAAAAAACAGTAGTCCCCTACAGTCAGGAGGGAGTACACACAAGTCTGCACACTTGAAAAATTGTACCCATGTGCACAAGAGAAGTATAGAGAAACACAGCCTAATAACAAAATCGATTTAACACAATAAAAGTGCCTTACTGAGCATGACAGAGCACTCAAAATGCCTCAGGATATGGGCAAACGGCTTTGCATCCTGTACAGCTTTATTCTCTTATGAGCATTGCTAGATCTCTTCAATGGTTGTATTACATTTCGAAGTTTTAAATTATGATGTGAAAATTATCATTCAGAAATTACAGGTAGTCCCCCAAAATGGAAAAAAAAGTGTGAGGGTTGTTATTGTGTAGAACAGCTTTTGTACTGAAAAGTTGTTAAGACATAAAACATTTTTAAGATGAGCGAATTTTGGATTAAAACAGTAGCTCTTGGAGCATGGTTATCATTAATATATACTTTGGCAGGCAATCTTCCATTAAACTTTACCTATTGGACTCTTAATAAATATTCATGACTTCTTTGTAATTTAAGCTATAAAATATATCATTCAACTAGCCATCATTAGTTCTCCTTTGTTGATAATTCATTGAGAATGCATTAAAGAGTTTATCTTGTTTGCTTGAGCTGATTTAAAATAATGGAGTATGATTGATTGATATTTAGATTTTCTTAGAAGTTACCTACATTTTTAATTTTGTATTGGATTATTGTTCAGTGTCATATTCCTAAATTGCTGTATCATTTTTTATGTCATTATCATGTTGCATTATCCAAAACAAAGTAACATTATTTTTAATGGAATTTCCCAGTGAGAGATATTGCATGCATGTTTTTAAGACCCACAGAACATGCGTGCCTACACATTTCAGGAGAGTAGGGTTCTATGCATGATAAGAAGCCCTCAATTTATAGCAGCAACTAAAGAATTTGAGATCTGTAATCTTGGCTCCCTAAGGAGCAATGCAGAAATGGCCAAGTGCTGTTAGGTTTTACAGGGTCTTAGTCAGCCGGTGTGGCCTCAGTATTAGGTGCAGTAAGGTGATCTCTGCAGCCTGCCAGCAGCCCATGAACTGAATGAACATGAACTGTCCTCTGCTCAGTGCTAATTCTGATACAGGGTAAAAAAAGATGCACATTTGTGTTCTGTTTCAAAGATTGTAGCAGTGAGATAAGCAGCAACTGGAGATTCCAAACTGAGGAAATAAAGAGAAACATAGTAGGTGGTATCAAATTTGAAGAAAAAAAAATGAGTTCATAACTCACACTCACAGTAGACTGGACTGCAATTCAAAAAAAATGTTAAAAATAATAACAAGTAAGAAACAAGGTACCAGCTTTTTTTATGTGTGATTCGGGAAATTAATAAACTGAAACATCAAAACGGTTTTAATTAGATTAATTAAAAATCAATGTTGCCATCTAGCCTTCAAAAGTTTCAGACACACCTTAACCAAAGAAGTCATTCATTCAACCCATTAACGAGGAAAAACAAATCATTATATGGCAAACACTACTGGTCATTCTACATTTCAGTACTTTGAAAAAGGTCCTGTATACTGTGTCTCCAGACTTCCAAATGCTTGCTATGCAACAGGATAATTAGGCATCACAAAATAAAGCTTTATGAATATAAGGTGCCTTGCTTAAAAATATTTGCCTGTAATCTAAATAGCAGTGCAGGGACTCAAGTCATGTTTGCCATAAATAATTAAATGAAGTCCAGAAAACTCAAGCAGTCACATACCTGCTCTCCTATATCTTCTGCTTTCCAGAGACGTCCAAGCAGATGGCCTGCTATGAAATTTCGCAGGGGTTCTGGACATCCAGCTTATGCCGAGGTGGAGCCTGTGGGTCAAGAGAAGGAAGGATTTATTGTGTCAGAACAGTGCTGAATGTTCCTGAAGGGTCATGTGCAAGTGCTGGCTTACAGGTGTGGGAGTTTGGGTGGCATCTTTGTGAAACCACACATTCTAGCCTACAGCTGTTGACAGAAGAAAACAAATCATGGATGAGCTTTGAATTTTAATAAGAGGCTCATCTAATTTGAGAGAACCACTGCATAGTTGTCTTCCTTAGCGATCTTGAAACATTCCTCCCGGGCTGAACCAGCTGGACACACACAGGAAATACAGGGAGGACTGCTGCCAGAATGACTGTGTTCTGAGATTCTCTCTTCATGGGGTTCACAAAGATCAGCTGCAATGTGAATCGTACATTTCATGTTATCAAGGAGCTAAATTACAACCGAATTCTACAGATCAGTGGAAGCCAGCTTCTTTTGCTGACAAGCATTTAAGCAGTGAAATAATTTTTTAAGGGATTTAGCTTAATAGGTGTTATTTTCTGCAGCTCTGCTGGTGTAAGGCTTGAAGGGGGGGGACTATATATTTTTCAAATCACAAAGCAGTTTTTTCAAATCATGAGCAGAGATTTCACATTTTAAGTTTAGGTAAGGTGTTACAGTAGGTTCTCATATCATGTAAGGGGTTTGGGTGTGATTTTATATGGTATTCCCTACACCATTTTAAAATGCATCGGTTTGTCCCAAAAATCCTTATTTTGATTGAAATGTTTACAGTTATCATGTTTTATGGAATGTTAACTAGAACTGACCTGTGTTAAGAGACACTGAGGTGCTAACTCTTATGACTGCAACAGTTGGTGATATTCCACATGAAAAAACTAGGATTTTAATTTTGCTTAAATGATCCTTCTTTTATTTTGGTTTAAAAATGATCTATTTTCAGATGTTTTCTTTTTTTTGCAAAAATATTCTTAAGTCCTGCTTCTTAAATATACATTTTAAGTTGTCGTTTTGGACAGATACCACACTGTCTTGTACAGTGGCTTTTCATAGCAGAAACAGTGATCACAGCTGACAGTGGTTAGCTGTGATGTTTTTATGCCAACACATTGTAAACTGAGATTACACTGTTCCATGTGTATAATTTTTTTTTGTAGTTAATTTAGATTGGCTTGCTTTCTTTAGGTACATGAGGTACATCAACTTTTCAATATTTTGATTTCAGAAGTTTTGCACAATCCTATCAATGCACATTTTTCTACATTATTTTTTTTTTAGTGTATGCTAGATTGGATCTTGTGTGTATGGTGATGCTGCAATGTAATTCATCCTGATGAATTGATTTGGGTTTTTTAGAATTCTTTATATCATGTGGAGGTGATAAGGATAGAAGGCTGGCAGAAGCTCTTCTGCACTGCATCGGGTGGATTGTCTTTTTCTTTGTTATGCTTCCCTCGCAGTGCAAGGGTTTCTGACATGAAAACTGGAAACATCTCTTAATTATCTATTTACAAAACGTCACATTAAGAATATTGAAAACATTTGCAGTTTCAGGTTGTGTCTCAGAAATGGGTTTAGATTTCCTTCCCTTAAAGCCTTAATATACGCTGTAGCAAAATATAATCAGCCTTGGTTTTTAATACATTTTAACATGCATATCATTTCTCTCGTCAACATTTCTGTTAATTTTCTCTTCCAGAGCTGTACGTAATCCCTTCCTTTAAAATGCATCTTTAAAAAATAAACCATTTTGTTTGTGCTCCGTTTCTATGGACATAACTGCAATATGCTTGTCGCAAATTTATTATTAGACGTAGTATTTGCTGTGCTGGGAATTATAACTGTTGAGCAAAGTAAAAAAATGCTTGATTATGGAGTTGAAAAAAATAGAAATCTGGAAAATCCCATTGCCCCTTAAGTGCGTAAATGACATTACATGGTAATATTAAAATGACTTTTTATGAAAACTGTATTAGATTAGAAATGTATAGAGCTAGAGACTAGAGTGGTAGGTATCTTCAATGAAGAAATCTTATTAATAAAACACTGGAAATTAGGATGGAGAAAGTCATTTGAAAAGGGTGACTGGAAGCATTGTTTATTGCTGCCTCACAGCTCCAGGGTTTCGATTTTTGATCAGAAGCTTCTGATCACTGGGTCCTCCTGTTTCCCCCACATCCCAAAAACATGGTGGGTGGTGTAATGGGCTATTGTAGATTGATAAATTGAAACTTACCATTCCATGAGGAAGGGAGTGGGGCGCCCATTACTGTGCCCTGTCAGGACTGGCTTTCATGCCAGGATTCAAGTATGGATGGTTAGGCTAGCTAGACCATCTGAGAAACCTGACTTTGTGTTCTGTTGCATGTGGTGCATTTGTGTTTTAATCATTTGTAAGCCACAGCAGTAAGATAGAGATTTTCTTCTGGTTGGTTTGGTGAAATTGAGAAAAAATGAGATTTACAGTTAACACTTGTTGTTTCTGTTTATGAAGTTGTTTCCATTTATGCCATTTTGTCCTTAAATGAGCATGTTTGCAGAAGGCTGCACTCAACTGTGTTTACAGTACATTGTGCACTGACATCAAAGATTTTTTAACCCAGGATAACAAAAGCTACCTCTGAAAATTGTTTAACTCCCCCAAATTCAGAATTTTTCTGTACAGGCACTAGTTATTAATTATGGTTGTAAGTATATTTTTGAGGAAAAATTGTTCTCCTTAGTTTTTCTTCATCTTTAGATTAGAGTGACCTATTATTTCTTCACATTCAGCTCCCAGAGGTGACACCTGTACTGAACAGGGTTGATGAGAATAGGCAGATAAGATCCTCTAACTTGCTCACCCATCAAAGCCATTGAGCTCTGATCTCTTTGACGGTTCAGGACCCTGGAGTGCTGGAGAGTCAGTTTGCCAAGAGCTGTGAGAATTCTGGACAGCTGATCCCAACATAGCCCCTGCTGGTGACTCTGGTAACTGTGCAATAGTGTACAGTACATTTAGAGATCAGGTATTAATCCGGTCCGCGCCATAAAACAACAGTGACCAGGATTAACATACTTTATTGTCCTATGCTGTTGTCCAAGCACCACTGGGGGTGACTGGTTCTGCCCAGGTATCATCAGCTTATCATGCAACACCAACCCCTGTAACTCATTGAAAAGCGCTGTGTTTGCAATACTGTATCACTCAAAAAATTCAAACATAAATTGGATTATTAACTTTCATGCCACAACTCCAAATAAGCACATGCAAATCACATATTAATATCACTAATGGCACCGATGAGTCTTGACTGCTGAACATCTATCTGCTCTGAACTACTTTGAGACCAAAGAATCATCACAGGTCAGCTTCAACCAGCTTTTAGCCTTTTTAATTCTTATTTACTGTTATCACTTCCCTGTGATACATGCAATACATTTCTAGGTTTTCACTTCCCTGTGATACATACAATATAGCAACTGCTGGTGACCTGGGGAGACTGAAGTGTTTTTTCCATTATAAAACAGTAAAAGCTGTTCACAAGAACAGTTCAAAAGCTTTTTGTTCCAGTGAGAAAATTCCTGGAACCGTATTAGCTCCGGAATTTACCAGCTTAACCTTTGACATATTCATTAATTTAATCAGTCTTTTTCTTTCCTCATTATCTGCTACTATTCATTTCAGCACACCACAAGTACATTTTACAATAGACAACATAAAGCTTTGAAAATTACCTTGCAAGTATTTTAACAGTTAATTTATCCAATATATTTACCTGAATCTGCAAATGTTTGATGACGCATTGAAGTTGCACAAAGAAATAAACTACAAAAAGGTCATGGTGATGATGCTTCCTCCTCACTGGGGAGAGGTGTGCTGCAGTAAACTTTCCAATAGTATTAAGCTGAAAGAGTTAATCATGTGGATTTACCCCCACTGAAATCCATTTGCTGTGGTCTATTGTACTGCCTTAGACACTTGCATCATTTAACCAGTTTCATCATTTTACCTAACTTTTAAGTGAACTTAACATGCTTTTAGAGGAAAGCAATGTTATGATGTTATTATAACACTATTAAAGTTGGCTGTTCTTTTTGCAGCAATTTTAAAAGAAAACAATCATGAGCTGACAGAAGCAGGGAGAACACATTGTGCTTCTTTAATTAGGATTGCCTGTATTCTTTGAAAATGTGAAAAAATAACATCTGAAAATGTACAGCTGTAAGGTTGGTGGTTGTTTAAAGCTTTTTCCCATTGCTTCTAGGGTTCAGTTTAAAGACAGAAATCATACCCTAACTGTCTGTAATTTCTGTAACTACTGTCATTTTGATTACATTTGAAATAATAAAGAATGTTGTTTTAACCATGTGTTTGTTTAATTGAAAGTGAGAGTTTGATGACCTTTGTCTTATGTAGGTAATGCTAAGAAATAGCCAGTTCCTTGAAAGTTTTACTACAGTGATACCATCAGTTTTAAAAAAAGGCAACACAAACAAGGTCTAATGTAGAACTACCGTATCATCGCACATCACCTTCCTTTGCCTCCTAAGTGATTGTTTAAAGCTACAAATCCCACATCAGTTTTTTTCTTTATGTAATGAAATGTTATTCTGTACTGCTCAAGTCTTCCGTGATTAATTTTGACAAAAAGCAGACCTCTAGGTAAGAGTCAAAATTTATGTCCCTCAAAATGTGTCTTTAGATACCTGTATATAATAGCATACTCAATTTACTGCCTTTCCAATCCAGTGATTGAAACACCTACAGGATCATTTTGGTGCTCTTAGGCTGGTTGCTACCAAGTACTGCAATGGGGTGCATCAGAAGTGTTGAAGGGTGAGTGGATCTGCTGTATAATCTACCAAAACATATATACACTACCTTTATTCAACATTTTGCTAGATACTTCAACTTTTGAAACCAGAATGTTGTACCAAAGATTCAGCTAGGGGTTTGAAAGCATGTTGCAGGTAAAAACGTCTACTGTTCTTGCGTAACTACAGTTGACAAATCAGAAGACATCTGAAGCAATATACAAGGTTTCATTGTCCACTTATGTATAATACATTTATAGTTGGTATTTTAATATATAGAAACTTTGTATTCGATTTTTTTAAATGTATAATTATTAATTTGTTGTATGTGTTGTATGTTGTATGGTGCACTAAGAGGAATTAATGAGAACTACATTTGTGTTCAATTTACCCAATCGAGGGAGCAGAAAGACGCTTCAGTTTCACCATATATTGTTATTATTAATTTAACAGATGATATTATCCAAGACACTTGGATCATTTGTACAACTTCATATGCAAGTGTAAGTGAGCTATGCATTGTACTACCAGGATGAAAAATAATTTTACAGTCTAACCAATTAAAAAATATATTACAAGGTACAGATAGGGTAATATAACCAATAATGTTCAGCATAAAATACTATTCCTAGAATATATATAGATCTTATTAATACTGTTTGTGCAGTACTATAATACTAGCAAATTACCCATCTGGGACAATAAAGTAAGTATTCAGCAAAAAGGAAAAAAAGTACTCAAATCATGGGAAATAATTCACTGTAGAAATATGCTGTAAAAGACACTTCTGTAGAATGTGACAAGC